TTTCTTTCTTTCTTTCTTTCTTTCTTTCCTTCTTTCTTTCTTTCTTTCTTTCTTTCTCTTTTGGTCTTTTTGAGACAGGGTCTCCCTGTAGCCCCAGCTGTCCTGGAACTCACTATGTAGACCAGGCCAGTCTTTATTTTTAAAAATCAAACATAGTAAGGTTTAAAATAGGGTCTCATTATGTAGCCCTAGCTGACCTGGAACCCACTATGTAGACCAGGCTGGCCTCAAACTTACAGAGATTCATCTGCTTCCCAAGTGCTGGGATCAAAGTATGTGCTTCCATATCCGGACTCACCCGACTTTACATGAATTCTGAAGATCAGAACTCTGGCCCTCATACTTGCATGCTGAGCCATTGATTCACCATCGACTCACACGCAATTCTAAGAAATAATATGGAGAGGGGGCTGGGGAGATGACACAGTGGGTAAAGTGCGCGCTGCTCAAACATGGGAACCCCTATTTGGGTCCCTAGTACCCTCGTAAAAAGACAGGTATGGTGGTGTACTCATAACCTCAGTCCTGGGGGTAGAGACAGACCGAGACAGGAGGATCCCAGGGGCTCACTGCTAGCCAAGTCTAGTCAAAATGGTGAGCTCCAGGTTTAGGGAGAGACCCTGTCTCAAAAAAATAAGACAGAGAGGGCTAGGGAGATTGTTCAGCATGCAAGCGTGAGGGCCAGAGTTCTGATCCTCAGAACTCATGTAAAGCCAGGTGGATTCGGATGTGGTGTCACATGCTTTGATCCCAGCACTTGGGAAGCAGGTGAGTCTCTGTAAGTTTGAGGCCAGCCTGGTCTACATAGTGAGTTCCAGGTCAGCTAGGGCTACATAGTGAGACCCTATTTTTTTTTTTTTTTTCAAAGTCGGTGAGTAAAGTGGCCTGTTTGTAATTCCAGGGAGATGGAGACAGGGTCTAATCTAAACAGTGAGCTTGGGGTTCAGGGAGAAACCCTGCTTTAATATATAAGGTTTCTACATGCACACACATGTGAACATGCATACACCACACACACACACACACACACACACACACACACACACACGCAGAAAAAGAAAAAAAAGAAGAAATAATATAGAATACACTTTACTTAGTCTCCCTAATAGTAACAAAGAAATAATATGGAGAGGGGCTGGGGTGACACTGACACTTTTGAGATCTAGCACATTATATTATGAGGAGCCCTCCAGTTGCCCTGTTCTCGCCGCAGCCACTTCCCCACCTGCCCCAGGCCCTCCTGAGAGTCATCTCCAAGCTGTGTTGGTGGCTGGTGCCTTCTCTTCCTGGGTGCTGTGCCAGGGCATGGAAGTCCCATTGTGCGAACAACGAGAACACCTGTTGTTTGCCGGTATCCCAATGATGCCGCTATCAGTATTTATGTGCAGGTCTTGGGGAAAATATACTGCCGGAGTCCAGCTCCAGCTGAGTCCGGGCCTGAGGCGGTGAAGGTAACTGCGGCGGTAGAAATGACTATACCAGAAACCACAATTGCAGTTCTAGTAGAGGCTGTTGACTGACCTGCTCGGGGGAGGTCAGCTCGAATATCTTCTTTCTTTTCCTTTTCTCTCTCTACTTCTGAAAAAGCAGCCGTCTACAACCTTTATTTATAATTAGAAAGCTTACAATAGCAGTAAAGCATCAGGCTGTAAATCAAACCATGAATTTGCACAATATTTCTCAGTGTACAGTATTTTTCAATAATCACAGTAAAAGGAAAGTACAAAGCTCAATGA